ACTACTACTACTAGCCACCCCCCCCCCTCCCAACTACACTTGCTCCATCCGGGCTGGGCAGTGGCAGCTTCTAGGCTCCCGAACTGCGACAGGTGCAGAAGATGCAGGGGCTCAGGCTCCTTATCTGTGACAGCTGCAGAAGTTGCAGAGGCTAACTTTCCTTTACTGTCACAGTCGGTGAAGTCGCAGAGGATCCGGCGACAAAACTGCGACAGCAGTTGGAGTTGCAAACTCGACGGGGAAGAAACTGCTCAACCGCAGGTGGTCGGATAGTACGAAAACGTTGTAAATACTGTGCAAATCGCAGGTGCTGCCAAGAAGGTTTTAACACTCCTAAAACCTGAAGCGCAACATTTTTTAAATATCAAAAACAGAGATGCCAGCTGTACGTGGAAGGAGCTCGCGAACACCCCTAAAGCCCCGACCTCGGCGTAGGAGGGTTTGCGTTTGAAGTACTGTGTGGTGCGTGCGCTAGGGTGTGGAGATATTGTTCGGCTACTACTACTACTACTACTACTACTACTACTACTACTACTCCGTCGGCATCCCTGCAACAACACCCGCAGTCCCTGATTTCGCCGCCTCTAGGATTCAAGCACCTCCCCTGCTGGATCCAATCTTGCAAGAGGGTTTGCGTGCAGACTCCAGACTCTCGAGCCGGAAGAGGCACTTGCAAGCCTCTACAGGCCGCATACAGATAAGCCGCTTCGGCAATGCAAGCCTCCTTTAACCCCGAAACCAAGGTCAACCCTTGTTGTGCCGTGTACCTTCTAGTTTCGTAGGTTCAACTGCAGACTGCATGGACTGTGAAGAGAAGACGAAATCCGATTTCGAGCGTCCAACAGATGCCGCAGCGGTGGCCTTCCTCAGGCACTGCGCCGGCCCCCAGCCTGAGCAGGGCCAATTTCCTCGAGGCCACTGCAACTCGCGCCCTGCTAAGACCACGATGGTGGCCCTCTCAGTCCGAGCCGAGGAGCTGAACAAACCCGAGCCATGCCATCGATCCACGACAACCACATCCCAGGGCCCTGATGGGATAGCTTGCGAGGTGATCTCACAGCGAGCGACCTCTCGCAGGGGATCGCCGCCCAGTCCGCACATACGTCGGCACAACATGAAATCAAAATAAAAGAGCGGATGATATCATAGGGCAGCAAGTGGGGTTGTATAATGATCCCGTATACAAAACACCTTTTACCTACATGTCGATATCGTTATTTGCTCGTCTTACCACGGTTCCTTGCAAAATGCGCTATCGTCGTTGTCGCGTTAGTTTCCTCTGCTTGTTTTACCATAGAAACCATCCAAAACCGAACAGGGACATTCAAAGACCAAAACTCAAGGCGCCGAGGTATTATGAACATGCATACATGCATACATACATACATACATACATACATACATACATGGCATACACATACATACCTACCTGCGTACGCATATAGATACCTACTTACACGTGTATATATATATATACACACAAAAGTCGACGTGCATACATGCTGCCGTGATGTGTTAGTATGTGTTTTACAGGTAAGTGTACAGACTAACTCTGCACACACCCGTAACGCAGATGTGCAGTATACAGGAAAAATTTAAAAATATTTTACGCAAATGTGCAGTATACAATACTGTAGAATGAACAGGTACTATGACCGACGGAGCTGGCCTGTTCTGGCAGATTTCGGCGCACAACCTCGGTCGACAGGGCGCTATGCATCTTACAAAAAAGGACCGACTGGTAAAGGACCTGGGGTTTTTAGATGACCAAAGTGATCCACACGCCAAGACCATGGTGGGCTCCCGCCTCCTTTGCGACCGCTGCGACGTGGGGCAAGGGCTCCCACAGCACGACCTTTGCAGCACCAGCTCGAAGAGCAGACACGGCTGACACACCTCAGCGGCACTATGGCGGCTACAGCAAGGTCTCAAACCCTAAATTTGAAGGCGATCCCTAACGGCACTCACGGCCCCAACGAATCAACGTCCACGGCGCCGTTGCCGCCGAGCACCAAGACCTTTGCCGACTGCGTTTTCTCGAGCTCTCGCTGGAGCTCTTGTGATGTGCAAGCCAGCAGCTGGCCAAGGGGTCCTCCCAGAGCAGCAGCAAGGCCCCAAACCCATCCAGTTTTGCCGAGAGGAGAACTGTTTCGTGCCGCATCTACTGCTCTTGTGAATGTGTCCCGCACCATCTTGCGTGGACTGAACAACGGCAAGAACATGCCTGCGGCAATGGCCTGAGTGCTTCAAAGGTCAATGCTACCACTGCTGACAACAGACTTGCCCAGTCCTCCTGTCTGTGCCAGCTCTCTTGCTCGCGCTGGAAGCGCATCAATCTCGGACATGCGTCTCGCATGTTCAAGGAGCCTGCCAGGGACAATGCGACTTCGAGTCGGAATCTTGCGTGCCGTTTGTGTCTTGATGGTGGCTTCATACTAGCTTCATGGGGCCTACCTGCCCGGCCCTTCAGAGCACCATTGACTTGGATCTTCGAAAACTCCTGCACGGAATGAAGCTGACGAATGACTATGTCCGCCGATGCGAGGCAAGGTTGCAGCCTGGATTGTCTAGCAATCTTCGAAGTGCTGCATCTCCATCAACGGTGCCAGACAAAGCAGCGGCTGTCTCGGTCAAAGCATCTGGCCTTTTCGGAACAATGAAGTCAAAGATTCTTGCAATAAAGTCCGGAGAAATTCTTCTCTGCATAATCTCACGTGAGTTCACTGTTGTCCGGATTCATACTTCCCAAGAGCGGCTGAGAGACGTAAGCGGAGTCCGCAGAAGTTCCGTTCGAAACTCCAGTCGGTGCTTCAGAAGGGACTCTTTGCAAGCGGCAAATGCCTGCAACATCGCCCAACTGTTATTCATGGCACGACACAGCTTCTAGATTCTGCTTTCGTGAACGAAAGAATATAGAGATCCCTGGAGTCCCGGGCCCCTTCCTTTGAAAGCCTCTTATACAAGCTATCGCAAAGCTTTATGTAGCCACACCGGGTTGCGACGAGAACTGCAGCATGTTGCACAAAGCTCTACTAGAAAGACTGTTAACCCCCTAAACCCTGAACCCTAAACCCTCTCTATAATATGTATCTAAACCTTAGTTCAGTTCAGTTCAGTCGTTGAAAAAGTGTTTTTCTGGTGTTTTCTGACTAAATTCAACGAAGAACGAAGACAAAGCCAGATTCAGCGAAGGCCGGGCACCAACCGCAAAAGAAAGGATCTGCAGATCTGTCTTTGTATAAGCTTTCTCCGTATAGATTCAGCCTCATATTTCAATGCTCCCTGCACAGCCTACGACGCGGCTCATAGCCGGACACTGATGTGTGAAAGCCGGAACGGGGCGTGGGACTTTGAGCGCCCAGGCACAAAACAACACATGGCTGCCAGAAGCATCCACATGCTCTCGATGGACAAAGGACGTCGAAGAACCCGACACCGCAAGTACACGCATGATGTTGAAGTCTCAATGCTTCCGTGACGAGAGATGCCTGTTCTTCCAACAAGACAAACACGCTTGGCCTCGGCAGCGTCGCGCCTTAGGCGTTCTTCCCTTTGCTTCAGCTCCGTCCAGGTGCTGCTTCCCACGTGCTTTGTCCACACCTCCGACGACACGGACCCGTCTCTACTCTACTCAACCTACTCTTAGTACTAGTAGCACTACCAACTGTTGTCAATTCGAGTTGGTATATCTCTTCAATCCGATTGCTATTGGTTCACAATGATTACTGCATGTTGGCATCATACGAGCAAAAAGCCATGTGCACTTCAGCAGACCGAAATCTGCAGTATCGGCTCATTGTGGAACTACGCCGTTCGAGAGCCGGGAACAACCCCTTGAGCCCCCCGCCATCCTCCACTCACCCATGCCCTAAGACATAGGACCCCGTCGCTTCAAGCCAGACTTGTAATGACTCGCGCTAACAGGCAACCACTTTCTCACAGAAAACATGTCCACCACCCAAACCTGCAACCCTGAACCAAAGTTCAACATCCCGCGCACACTGCACAAGCTCTGATTATTGAACAGATGTCGTCTCATCGTCTCATTCAAGAATTGTTGAACTGCTTCCTACAACGGGGTATATAATCTGAACGCGTCGTTGCGAAGCAAGGAAGGCATCTTCTCAACAGCTCAGTGCGCCCCGCGAACTCTATTCGCAAAACATTCTGGTTGATATAAACATATATATATACAAATACATATATATACTATGCATACTACACATGTCTTACACGTGTATGTATGCATACATGTGAATGTGTGTGTGTGTGTATGTGTCACGTGGCTTCGTCTGTGTCTACATACGTATACATATATATATACACACGCATATAGGCACATGGTTTGTCGCGCTCGTTCTTGTTGTTACTATGCTTATCGGCACTGTTGGTAATAACATTGACGACTCGAAGCATGACTCCTATCCGTAAGCTGGCTACCTTACTGTTGATTACTGCCGATGACATCACCATTACTGGCGAGTGCCGTTTCAGGCAATTGCACATCAGTGGCGAGAATATAGCTATCTAGAGAGCATCTTGGCACCGATTCTATATGCGAAACCCCAATGCGCTGTTTGTAGTCTCCAGGCCGCGTAGGCTCCATTGTCGGGATATGTCGCGGACGCTGGGCCCAATACCCCAGTGTGGATGCTGTTTTTGAGTCGCCAGAACGTGTAAGGTCCATTGTCAGGAAATGTCGCGGATGCTGGGGTTTCAATTTCTGTTCATTGCAATCTACGATGCATTGTGCTTAGTTTTTTATTACAATGCCTGATTTCTGGGTTTTGTATATGCTTATATACCCATGTAAAGACTCTTTTCTCTTTTCATGACACCCCTTCACCTGCCTCGGCGGAGGCCTCAACAAAGCTGGCATGTGCAAGTTGCTTGTCCCGGAAGATCTGCACAGCAGCAACGCCGGCATCGCGATCCTTGCATGCCTAACATGCTGCCCAAAGCCTAACCCCGTAAACCCACAAGGCCCCCAACGTTAGCAACCCTGGCACCTCAAGCCAACCTCAGTCCCCATGACCACAAGCGCAGAAGTTAAGATCAAGCGTCCAAGGCAGAACTTGGGCCGGGCGGCGCTTTCCAGTCAGCTGCCTCGGACTGAACACAGACGACTTTGTTCATGCATACAAAACTCAAAACAGGATCTCGTCTGGAAGAATAATGCAGCAGCAAGCAAGCAGACTCTGCATTTAAAGACCGACACATAGAGGTATCGATTGGGCCCGATACAGGTAGAGACAGGGATAGGGATAGGGAGAGGGAAATTAATAGAGACGCAGATACATATATATATATATAGACATGTGTGTGTGTGTTTATATACTTGTATCTGTATATGGTATGTATATGTGTGAGTGCAATGTGTGCAAGTCTGCGCAGTCAGGTCAATGGACAGACATATATGGAAAGATGGGTTGCACAACCTATACGCATTCATACACCTGTAGGTAGGTGTACACGGACGCATAAAAAAAATTAAAAAAACATACATACACATGCATACTGCGTACAAACTTGTTTCTCTTCCTCTCTCTCGCTCTTTCTCTCTTCTTCCACACAGTAAAAGGAAGTGCAATGCACCCCCCCCCTCGCGCGCAGGCGCGCCCTGGTTCACTCAGTCCCTGTGTGAAAGCTGTGTTCGATGAGGTCGAAGAGCTAGCGAGCAAGTAACCCCCTTGAAGCAACACTAAGTGATCCTACCCTTCGGCCTCATCCTGTAGGCTCGCACCGGCTCTGTACACAGTTACAGCTCATGAGGATCCGGTTGACTCAGCTTCAGCAGCACCAAACACACCACACATGAACGCATACAGCTTGCACCGCAACACTTTGCACATGTATCAGCTGCTGAGCCCCTGGATCAGGCACTCGGGTTAGTTTTTTAGTCCCCTCCCCGATGGTGCATGGCCTCATAAAATTGCAGACACAGGCGACTCCCCGAACTCATCAACGAAACGTTCTCAAGGACATGACTAAAGTGTTCCGCGGGAACCTTCACTGGAAAACCGGGCTCTGCATCTTCTTCCACACAGTCAAGAGCACGGCAAAGCACCGCACTCTGCGCACGAGCGCGCACTGTCTGTTCGAAGGGCTCTGCATCTCTCTGTCTCTCTCCCGGCATTCTTTGCTCTGCTTTGCTAGGGGTAAGAGGCGCCAGCAGGCCTGACGCCCCGCGCTCCCGGCGTGCGCTAGGCTGTCCAACCCGGAAGGTGTGGTGTGCCCCCGTGACAGCAGGTGCAGGTCTCAGACAACACGGCACCAGGCGGGAAAAGCATGCCTTGATTACCGGCCTGCAGTCCTTGTGCCTGCTACGGGCACACCACTTTGAAGGTACGGGCAAAAGAACGAATCCATCCCCTGAAGGTACGAGTTAGTATTGATGTGAGATGCAGAAGTACTGAAGCTGCGGCATCAGTCGCTTTTTGGATGGTGTGTGGCTATGGGTTCCCCATGTGCTTGCATGGACGAAAAATTAAGTAGCCGAGTGCCGTTCTCGTGCAGTGGGTGCCTGCTTTGGCTCACGGTCCTCATCCTTCGTGGTTGCCATCGTATCGACTCTCTGAGCAAGACTGGCACCCCTCCGATCGGGTTTGGTGCCCCCTTCTCGCGAGCTGTTTGCTCGCCTACACCCAGCCCGGATAAGAGATCAGAGATGCCACGGAAAAGTTTTCCAGGGCATGTCTGAACTCTAATCTCTGATCCGGGCCGGATTTCAGCATAAACAATGAATCATACTGAAACTATACTGAAACCAGCCCGGATCAGAGATCGGAGATGCCACGGAAAAATTGTCCAGGGCATGTCTGATCTCTGATCTCTGATCCGAGCCGGGTTTCAGTATTATACTGAAGTGTACTGGGCATGATCCTGCATACACGGTTCCTTTCGGATTCTGTAGTAGTGTTCGTATACACTTATCCGTGCTTGCGCATGTGTGCGTGCGTGTGCATGTGTACTGACGTGCGGTAGCACACATGTCTACAGACAGGTTTCGAGGTAGGTCGTGGGGGGTACCATATGTGTATATATATATATATATGTATTTATATCAGTGTGCGTGTAATTTAACATTTTGGTATGTGCGAGCGCGGCATTTACGTATGTTTTGTGCGATATGTTCTTAGTCTGTATGTATGTACATCTATTGTGCCTGTATACTACTGAGCTACTGCCTACACTGGAATTACCTTATCTATCCTGTGTTATTCCGTATATGAGATCAGATGATATCTATGTGGCTTTATGACATGCATGAGCATTGTTGTGATGCTATGCACGATTTTCCTTCAGCATCAGTATTACATGAAACTCTATGCCAGATTCTACGACCTTCTCACAAAACATCCGACAAAAAGGCCACTCCTCTGACCTCTGCAGCTCTCAAGCAGCACGTTGCCTGCACCGACACGCTTCCACCTGTCCTCCGCTCCGTCGGGTAGACAGAGGCCTAGAGCAGAAGGCCCAACCATGCTCGACGGAAACCAAAAACTGGCTAGACTAACAACCACGGTTTGTCTGAAGTATGGTGGATCCGCTGGGGATGGACAGTCGCCGCGGATGTACCCCTTACCCCTTTCGTTGCGGCTGATCCAGCCGATGTGCGGATGTGGCGTGCGATATGCATGACCAGCCGGTTCCGCTTTGGCATCTCCCCGGCGAATTTGAATGTCAGTGGAGGCCTTTTCTTGCAGAAACATGCACCTCCTTGTCTACATCGTTCATCAGTTCGAGATTACACCGCAGATCAACATTCGATGCAGCATTCCATGAAGGCCATTGCAGGCATGCCATGAGACTGAGTGTAATCCTTGTAACTTCGAAGGCAAAAATTGGATTCACGGGAACGAAGAAGAGAACGACAGCGAGAAGCAAGCAACCGTCGAATTACGTCGAGATCAGCGTGACGTCGGCTTGAATATGTGAGCACTGCACTGTACCCTGCTCAATACAAGATCCAACTGTAGTGTACTCATGCGTCACACTTCGTCTCTGTGACTCTGCTCAGCCAGGAAGGAGTCTGTCAAGCTGCCTTCAATAATCCTGGAAAACTGGAACCTTGTCCTAATCCTACGCTCAACTAGCTCTGCACAACAACGTCGTCATGGAGGGACAGGGAGGAGACCTCTGAAAAACTCACATCGTTTCGCAAGTCAAGCATCTCTTCAACACTTCCGGGCCTGTCGGAGCTCAGGCTGAGCGACTGCCTTTCCACTGGCAAGCCTGGGAAAGGGGGAACTTCATGGGACCCTACGGCAGTACGCTAACTTTCGCCTCCTGGGAGCCGAGCTCCAGCAAGCGAGCGCTGCCTGGATGTGCGGTGAGGCCTTCCACAAGCACCTGCCAACTGCCACGATGCAACCTTATGTGCTCTCTCTCTCTCTCTCTCTCTCTCTCCCCTAATGCTTTACCAAAGTCGGGGAAGGGTTGCGCATCCGTGACAAACCGGATTTCTGAAGTGATGGCCGTCAACGCCTCGAGAGCTCCTACGGTATAAGAGGGAGGTGATCTCAGGAGCGCGCGGAGGTGCTGGCAAAAAGGCCAAGTAGACGGGGCACATGACATTAATCGCGCCCAGGGCTTTTTAAGAGCTGACTAGCTATGGTCAATCCCAAAGCAAAGTAGCAGCAGTATTGGTGGGGAAGGCCTTGCCAGTGCTCCAAGCAGCGTCTGTCAGAGTCTAACCAATGTTTGGGGTTTGTTGGAGGGCCTTTCCTCATGACCGGCCTGCTTATTCGCTGGACATCCGCGAAGCAGCAAAATCCTTGAGCCCTCGACAAGGGCCTGGGCTGCAGCTCCTTCGATTCCCATCTCTTTGAAGTCCTGCACAGCACGCGTACGAGTCAAGCTTCGTCCGGTCAGAACTCGATCACCCAACAATCTAGCTTGTGGCTCGCACGTAGTACACACATGGCTGTCGGAGTCTGAGCACAACTGTGCTTGATGTCCTGGTAGGCCTTGACATAGTATTCCTCGCCGCTCGCCATGGCCAGAACACATCAGATGGAGCTGTTCAGGACAATGAGAAGCTTGCGTCCGTCAGACTCTGCAACATGAGCACAGCGATATATGCCATGTGCTTCCATTCCACAACCTCCACGACCGGTTCCGGATAGGACACTCGCTTGGAAAGTTGGACTTACTTCCGAAGCGTGTTACTCCAATCATCCCCAGTTCGAGCGCTGGCACTATGGAAACCTCATGCTTGAACGGCTGCCAGTCTAAGCGTCTCAGCAGAGCTGGTCGCCTCGAGATCACAATCGCACCCTCGACGGCAACTCCGCCAGCGCCTGCCATGCCAGGTGCAGGGACAAAGTGCATCTATCCACATCTTTGGCACCCTCTGCCTTTCAATTCGGCCGGCGCTCTGCCATGGCTGAGTCCAAGCAGGATTTAGGTCTCTACATGCCACGCTCGGAATGAGAATGCTATGGGTAAGGGAAGTCCACACTCCTTGGGCCGAACAAGCTTAGATTAGACCGTGTGAGCGATCGAATCCACAAGATGTGCCGTACTCCACAGCTGAGGTACCTCTCTTCCTTATATCCTGGGTCAAACGTCTTCTGATACTCCAAAGGACCTTCAGGATATTGACATGTGGTGACTTTCCTGTCTTGCTGTAGTGGCTCTGCCCAATGCTGCAAAGTCACAGCTTGTCACGCACTATCTGTGATTCGCTCGCATAATGTAGCTGGCTTCTAACATGTAGAGCCTAGAGGCACTGCAGACACGACCCGGTCCAGCTGCACACGACCGCATCCCACAGAGCGCATGGGCGCTTCCAAAGTGGCTATGAGTTCTTGTACAGGCCATTCCAAAGCTCACATGCGGTACCTGTCGACAGGCAAACGAGCTTAATATCTCAGCTATCACCTCAGAGCCCTGTTCCCGGCGAGCCAGGGCCAAGACTACACTCACTGACACCCCATCATAATTATATCATGGACTTAACTGTACTTGCACCAGTCATGCTCAGCTGATGTTTAAGAGTTCCGCAGGTGGGGACTAGTATCTCTGGAGGTGCTCGCTGCTAGATCGGTCTCAGGAAGGTCCCCTAGGTGTCGGTGTCAGGGTGTGAGGTCACTCCAGGTTTGAGGATTCCTGGTGTTCAATTAAACAAAATTTGGAACTGGTTGCTGAGATGCAGGCTCGATGGGGCAATGTGTTAGGTCAGCAGGAAACGATTACTGGGTCTGTGGGGAAGGAAGTTCTTTGGGTCGGGACCCTGGAAAACGACCCATCCCAGCTGAGCTCTGCCCGCACAGCTAGCTTATTTTCGTCCGGAGCAGAAACTGCATGTGCTCCGGTCAGTCACGCCCGTCAGCAGCATCAAGCAACACCCAGCGGTGCTGTTGATTGAGCTGTTCCGTCTCATGCAGCCATCGCAAAGACCAGAAGTTGCAGCATGATGCAGCGTGTTTGCGCACGACAGAGAGGCCATGACACTGCAAGAGTGTGTGCTTCGGTAACAACACTGCGTCCTCTGGCGCTTCCAGCCTTGCAGTGCCCAGCTGCGTCGAAGCATGGGCACCGCAGATCTAATTCTTTCGTTTTTAAAGATAAGGCAACAGTTCTGTGCCGAAAGCCACTTGCCCCTGATCTCCAAGCAGAATGCAAAGCGGATTCGTGGTTGTGCTGCCTGTATTATAAGCTAGAAGTCATGACGGACGTCAAGGTGCCTGTGCTGCATAGTCCCTTATTCACAACGTCATGACCGCGACATACCGCGACTGGCTCATGCGCTCTCTTCGCCTAGCCATTGCATTCTGCGAGAACTTCAGAGTGCACCCATTGTTGGCCTCATGCTCCCGTTAAGGGCCGTTCGGCCGTCCCCTGAGATGAGGCAGGCTGCGCTGCTCAAAAAAGGAGTCATGCTTCTTGCATCAGCCGACAGCTACTCTTTGCATGTGCATCGACCATCGTCGCGCATCTGACATTTACGGCAAGCTCTGGTAACATCGTCAGTCTGCCACATGCAGCATGATTGGAGTACTTATCTGTGGCTGTTCATGCCCCCCGCCCGGTATGACAGATGCTGCATCGAGCGCACCTCGCCACTCCGAGAACTTCACAGTTCGCACCGAGTCGGTCGCGGAATTTGCGCCGACATCGGAGCAAAGAAACCCACAAACGAAATAGCTGGTAGTGTCTGAAGTTATTACTATCTGAAGCTTGACGGTTGCGTTTGGAGTTTCCTTGAACGCGGCTGTGGAAGCCTGCGGCGGCTCGGCGGGTGCGCAAACAACATTGAAAACGATGGCCGGCACTGCGCCCATACAGCGCATTTCACGCAGTTACTGCGTGTACGTTGCATGTTCCACACCATGGGTACGGGCCATATGCCGCTGCTTGTGTGCTGATGTGCATCTCCTTCTTGGTCTTCCAGTTTCCCAACCCCGTATCAGCTTGCAATTCGCTGCCGTCGTCAAGCCATGATGATTTAAGGCTTTAATTCTTCGAACCTCGAAAGTACAGAGTTGACGAAGCCTCAAGGTGACCAGCACAAAGCACTCTGAACTGGCAGCCTTGACCGACCAGCAACCGGAACCTGAGGTACTCATTTACTGAATGTGCTACCTGCTAGGTTATGCAAGGCTGGCGTCAGTCCTGTTCATCCACTTGACATTCACAAGTGGTTGATGTTTTTCCATGTTCCTGAGAGCCGGATGTGGCTCTCAACATAATTCGAGCCAAGGTGGCGAAGCTTTCCGTCACAGCCCTTTCGGTTTGGCATAGTACATCCGCTGCAGCTTGCAGAAAGCGGCGAAGGACACCACATGACCTCAGCAAGTCATCCGCCAACGCATGCCGACCAAACCTTAAACTTCTGCTTTGTGAACTGAACGTACGCCAAACGGCCCTGCCTACCACGTAACCCAGCATGCCTCACTGCCCGAGTCTTTGGCAAACAGCTGTGGTAGTAATTATTAGCAACTAGCCAGAGCCGCTCTTGGGGAAGTAGCCGCCCTTCTCCGGCTCGGTAGCCGGATGTCCCCAGAACCAGCCGCTTCGTGAATCATGAGTGACCTGCCAAGGTGCGAGAGCACTGTGGCACTATCTCCAGCCAAGGTTTTGCCATGATGCACCTGCATCAACTGCCCAACTCCAAGCCCCAAGAAGTTTCCAGGCTCGGTTCCACCTGTGCACCAGACACTTCGGAGGTATCACGTTGAGGCGCGTTCTTCAGCTAACTCGGAATTGCATTGTGCCTTGTGCTCCCAGTCCTACTCGATTCAGTCGATAGCGAGTCGCAGTTTCTCGAGGAGCTTGTGGCAATCAAAACATGCAGACACGGAAAATCGAAAGCACAGCCAAAGTGCAAGAGTATGCTCCTGTGGACTTGTGTCGAGTGATTTCACGTATTGTCGAGTGCAAACCAGTCGGGACCACCGAGCGCTGTGGGATCAAAAGGATAAAGTGCGATTGCGCAGAAGCTGCTGTCGTCCTGCAGGGCGAGAGACGCTTGAGGGTTGCTGAGCGGCTACTGTACTGCCTGTAGAATGCACGGGCTGGCATAGGCCCAGGCCTCTGCGCAGTCGGTGCTTGTCGGAGTTGAGCTCTGATCCACAACGACGTACTGAGCCGCCTGGGATCAAAAACAGCACAAAGCCGCCGCTGGTCGGCCGAGCCCCCTGCATCTGCTGCACAAAAGCTTACCGGGAGCTGTGTGGCTGTCTTGTGTACAGTACCGTATTGTGTCAATCAGAGCCAACACGAATTGTCATGGCTCGGCACCTGTCTCAGTCGTGATTGCAGACAAAGACACCAAGCGGGCAAGGTCGGTCGAGTCCTCGGGAAAGGATATGCAAGCTTCTTGCAGAACGCTTCAGCGAATACGCAAGGAACTTTAGGTACTTTAAACTGGCTGCTGTAGCTGTAGCTGCAAATGTTGGTAATTAGTCTAGCTAACTATTAGAATCATTCAGACCCTCTGTCGGCGACCTCAAGCCTGCCAGCGCGCTAGATCTGAAATCTCCAAGGGTACTACGTACTGTCAGCAGTCCTGACAATGCTCTGCATTGCCGCTGGGGACAGAAGAACAAGAAGAGATGGACCTCACACTGATTGGAGCAGCATTCCGCTCGCCTCCCAAGATGGCTGCTTGCTGGGATGCAGACACATCTGAGGAAAGCTTCGATGTATCGGGCAGCACCGAGAAGCTCTGGACCGGCCTTCAGCAGAGGAGCAAACGAGGGAGGATCGCGTTTTCTTAGTGCCGGCATGATCGCCACAGTGGGCCACATGAACCTCATCCTGAAGATTCAGATCATCGGAGGCTGACATTGGATGTCGACACCAAGCTCACAACCGTGCTAGCCCCGAACCTGTCAAGGCCTAAGCTCGCTTCAGAGCCACCCTCCTTCATGGACTTGTTCTTGCAGCCGCAGCCCTCACTTGCGTCTCAATTTCCCGAGAGCTTGATTGCTAACAGCCTCCCGCCCCCCCCGCCCCTTTTTTGGCGGGTGCCACAAGCCTTCCGGCTTTCTGCCGACGCGGATGCCAAACTACCAACTTCCCCCCCCCCCCTGTCTTGAATCCCAACCTGCTCAGAGATGAGACTCCCGTTGTTTGCAGCACTGATGAGCACAAGCCTTGAGATGAGGTCAGCAGCACGCTGCCAAACCGGCCGCACAGATCGTTCCTGTCAAGCGATGGACATGCACCACGATCAGCAAGGATGAACCGCAGCTACGTTGAAGATCAAAAAAATCCATTATGCAAAATGCAGGGGCAGGAGCTGGGCTCACTGCTTCAGAGGCCTTGCGTAGCTTGTAGCCTCAGTCACGAAGGATCCTTCAATGCAATGTACCCAGCTTCCAGGAATCAATTCAGGCAGTCGCTTGGGATTCGGGATCCGGTGTGCCTACCACTGGGCATCTTTTGCCCACATTGCTGACACCCAAATCAAGCTATATAAGCTGAAGGGCATGCATGGCTCCTGGTCAATTTCATGCTGGCTTGTTTACTGCGATAACGCCATGGGGACAGCCCCACACACCCCTCCACCACCCCCCACACCCTTTTCCCCCCCNNTTGCGGCGAGGCAAGACAGGCTAGCTTAAACTTGATGCCAAAGCCTGGGAATTCTCAGGCTGGTGTCTTGTACTTTGTTGCAAAGCTTGATTCCCCTTGGAACATAAGGGAGGTTGTCGAGTCTACCAGACCAACGAGACATGTAATATTATGTTTATAGTAGCGTCTACAGGATAATGCAGGGAATCTGCCACCTTTCGCGTGGGATTATTGCTCAGAGCCACAGCACGAAAAGAAATACTGACACTGAAGCAAATACACTCATTCACTGAAGACCTCACCTGTGTGACCTACCTGTTGCTTTCCGAAACCATGCACCTGCTTCCAGTACAGCCGGGCCGAGGCGGACGACGCGAAGCGTTTAAAATCAAGGCATCTCCTTCATTCACGAACTACCTCCTTGGGAAAATCGGACCATGCCCGCTGTGGTCTTGCGAAACCGAGCAGCGGAAGCCGCAAGCGCAGCAGTGCGTGAAGGCCTCGTACGAGCATCGTGCTCCCAATGTTGCAACAGTCACTGTCCAAAGTCACATCGCCCCTGAGGCTTCATGCAGGTCGCCTTCGGGTTCTGCCCAGAAGCTCGCCATGTGTCAAGACCTCGTCGCCAAGCTTTGGCCAGGCTCCCCTCACAGCAACACCCAGGCACCGGGCATGCCCGGTGCACCCAGCGCATACTGCCTGCGCACCTGGCTGGGCGTGCTTTCCCCCGGGGCTGCGCAGTCTGCACTTTGGCATGTGGTAACTCTTAAGCCATCCAGACAGCGCAAGAGACACAAAAGACTAAAAAAACTCAACTGAACATTAATTAACTAGAGCATGATTTAATTGCGGCTTAGTTTAATTATTTTGGGTATGTTGCCTGTTCCCCTTGTTTTCCCTTTCGCTTTAGCTTCTTACAAGTGAAACACGTGAAAAAGGTCAAAGCACAAGACAACAAAAGGCTTGTGCATTGAGGTTAAAATGAAGAAGCACGCTTCAGTCTTCATTCCCTTTAATTTCAACAAGGAAACTAGTGTATGCAAGAACTAGGTGTAAGAATCCTTATTAAAAGTAGGTGTAATCTATAAAGGTAACTTACTTAATGATCCTACAACTATAACTTATTTAAGTATAAAGATGTAAACCAGAACAATCACCGGAAAAAGACTAATTTCGTTCCGTTTGATTTCACGCTCTCACTCACTATGCTCATTCCCGGAGTGTACGAAATTAGCCACCAAAAGACCCAGATAAATACGGTGTAATCTAGATTATAATATTTTACCCTTTGTTTCACCAGTCAACGGTCACTAACTCATGGTTTTCTGGGGCTGTGTTTTAACTTGATGCAAAGGAAACACGCATTACATTACATTACACCTGTTTTCCTTTGATTATTAAAATATACCACAACAGCAGGTAACCTTTCAACTAGAAGAAGATAATGAAGGGCGTGTGTGACGCTTTCACTTTGTTCACTTGTATGAACTCAATAAAGCAACACACAGGTTTGATTCCTCACTACGTTCCTCTCTTCACATTAGGAACGGAGCGAAGCGCTCCCAAAAGATGCTTTGTTCTAACTAAATCTAGGTCTTTTGGCTCTTTGTTTTCTCATTTGCCTGACTTCTGGCGTTCGTTCCTTCGTCTGTGCATTGAAATTAAAGCAAGTAAGACAAACAAAGAGGAACGCATACGCTTCATTTTATTACATTAGAGACAAGCAAGGAAAGAGCACATCTAACAAAATGGAAGCGAAGCGTGGTTCGTATTTATACTGAGCAAAGCATCGCAACGTGCGGCTACAGCAATCTCCCATGGTAGACATCACAAAGCCAGAAAGCATCGTGGATATCATGACCAAAGACGAACTTACTCTTAATGGGATGCCATGGCCCATGGCAAGATCTGACCGGATTTCGCCGATGCGAAGAAGACTACCAATCAACACTGCAGTGCCGCTTCCCCTTCAGCGTCTGCAGATGCCGCAAGACTGTTGTTCCTTGCCGAATGGACCCTGGCCCAGAAGGGGCCCAGAAGTTGTGACCGCACGCTGGACACACTTGCAGCTGAGCCTGCAAGGGGCGATAAGTTCACCTTCTTCTCCCTGGCCTTAGCCCGGTCTTACGATATCATCGAAGCCGCAGTTACTTGCAAAGACTGAGGCGGTCTCCGAGACATAGACGGCACTCAAGGCCGTCCACTCCCGCCCTGCACAATTTCTGTGGAAACACAGTTGAAGACCAGCTCAGCGGCACTCCAAAGCAGAGTCTTGCAGTCGTGGTGCGTTGCCGCTGCTGCTCCAGCTCGGCGCGGGCAACAGAATGGCATCGATCCTTCGCACGGATGCGGTTTCGGCCCCAGAAATCCTTTATAGATGCATGTAGGCTTGAGGCCTATCGCAGATTGCACTCGCTGAGTGGCGATCAGCGCAGTGCCAGCTGTCAAATTAAAGCTCACATACCACTTCAGTGGGCGGCACGCAGGACAGGTCAGAACAGCTTCCGTCAAACACGTTCAGCTTCCCTCCTATCCGTGGTTTCCATGATGCTGCTGTGATGAGCGCATCGATGAAGTTGCGAGATTTCCCTGTATTGTCACGACTTCATGTGGACATGTATGGAAGGCTTTTTCTTGTGACCTGGCTGCCATTCAACAGCACACCTGACGAACGATCGGAATGAGGTTCCGGGAGCTCTTCGTCCAGCAAATGCATCATGACTAGCTTGCCCCTGGCACATGCGTAAAGACCTGAACCTGTTTTGCACATATGGCGTCCTCGAGGTTGCTCGTGTGGCGGCGAGGAGGCGGGTTGAGGCTGAGAGCCGGAGAGTAGCGGAGATGGTTACCAGTTCATCAAGCTTTCGTTGAAAAACTTCGGTTGCTAATCACGATACTACAGTACCTGTGGAATCATGCGCCCTGCTCAGCTCGCAACCGCCGGCCCACCCGTGTGCCGTATCAGCCGAACCCTGCGGTGCTGTTGATCGGTCTACTGTATCCCACAAGGCCAACATCAAGACACGAAGATGCAACAGACGCCGACTTCCACCTGACACTATAAAAGCCAAAGAGGTCATGCCACCCACCAGTTCGCTCGCTTCTGTTCGCCCGTTTGTTGGGATGCCACTGCGAAAGTATGTCGCGGCAAGAGCTTGTTTAGTCTGTCCATGTGTCCCAACAATCTACCTGAACAATCCCTCAAGTCTTGGATCGCAGAGCTGTCGTATCTCAAGCTCCTGCACTAGATGTGGGCGCACAGCCCCAGGCCTAAACTAAATGACGTGCCCACCTACCTACCCACCCACCCGCCTACCTACCCTGGCATATACGGACTTACATGTATGTTCATGTTTAGTATTTCATGTTGAGATGTATGTGAAGAACATGGGCCCGGTACGCAAACTCCCAAGCCGGTCCGGAGTCCGGCGGTCCAGTCTCCCAAGGTTAAGCAAAGCAGCGAACTTTGAACGTATGGACAGCTCCGGCCAGGCGCCGGGAGGGGGGGGGGGGGGGGGG